ATGCCGTGTGTCGGGCGGGAGGGGGGTGTCACTGGAGTGTTTTGAGGCCCACACAAGGACAACAGCAGGGTCAGAGTCTTGAAATTGGAGGGATGACAGACGGGGCTCTGTATTGTCTCGAGGGATGACCAGATTTGGGTATGTAGGCCCGAGGGATGTATGTCAGCAGTTGGGTCTATAGTCTCTAAAGGCCTGATGGAAAACAGCAGCAGGGCTGTAGAGTCTAGAGACCTAGGGGATTGCAGCAGTGGAGGTCTTGAGTGTTGAGGTCTGAGAAAGGGCAGCTGTGGAGGTTTGTAGTGTCTGAAGGCCTGAGGGATGACCGCAGTGGAGGTTTGCAGTGTCTGGAGGCCTTAGGGATGACCGCAGTGGAGGTCTGGAGTGTCTAGAGGTCTGATTGAAAAGGTGCACCTTGGACAATTGGTCAGTAATGTGTTTGTGGTACAGGATGTGGCAAGATAAGTCTATCAGTTTAAAATGTGGTCAACTTGGTATGTCAAATGTGGCATGTCAGAGGAGTGTAAGGTGTGTGTGCGGACATATTGTAATTAATGGTTTGTGGAATATGTAGGTAAGGGTCTGGCAGTGGCAGTAACCCTTGCATTGGATCTTTGGTATGGGCAGTGACAAGAGTGGAGCATTATATGAGGGGTAGCCACGCTGACATGAATGCGTGTGGACTAGTTGGATGCTAAAAGATTGAGGTCTGTGGCATGTTGATCTCTACAGGGGCAAGGTCTGTAGTTGCTGTGATTTGTCACGTTTGTGATATCCATACAGCAGATTATTATGTAGTGTGGGCAGTGTTCACAGTGTGATCATTGTTGTGGGCAGAATCAAGTGAGAAGACTATTGAGAAAGTTCAGGCATGAGCAATACCTAATGACTAGTCAGTAACAGAAATGATGATTGTTGTGCAAGTGATCAGTGACAGGAATGTGGTTATGCGGGGTTGGTGGTGGATGGACACTGATAGTAGTGCAGTCTAATCTAGAATGAAGCTGGGTCTGTGGTGTGGAGCATTGAGTGTGATTGCCAGGTGTGACACTACATGTGTTGGACACATGTAGAATTCAGGAGAGCCAGCCTGTCAGTGCAATTCAGGAGCCACCTCTATTGACAACAATTGGGGAAAGCCTCAAACTTTAGACAGCTGTAATTTTTAAGGAGCATTGGCTTGCTCCTGGGATTTGTCCAGCCTTGCTGTTGAGGCACCTGACAGAAGTATTTTGTGTGTTTGTGGAGAAGTGCTTTTTTTTTTATGACGGTTGTGACAATTTATGCTCAGCAGTAACTTATGTGAGGTGTGAACACATGGACAGAGACAGGAGCATCATATCATGTGGATAGTTAGAGGTTTGGGTGGCAGTGGTCACAGGACCATGTCTGTTCAGTTGAGTACAGCGATTACAAAGATGTTAGTGTTTTGCAGGTAGCATGTCACATGAGTGTGATGTATTTTCTGGTTTCTGGAAATGTAGGAAACAGCACAAGCCCATGGCCTCTGGTTTGGCAAGTTCTGATGGCACATCGATCAGTCCCTAGTCTGTTTGGATGTCTTAAGTGACAGCATTGAGATCAGTAATTTTTTTACTTTTTATTGTTGAGACCATATTAGAGGTGTCCTAGGATCCTTCCACAGGAAAAAGTAAAGACCTGTAATATCTGGACAAACCTAAATGGGCAGTATTGGTAATGTATTTATGTAACTAGTCAATGTCATGAGGGTCTGGAAGGGCTCAATCACACTAGCACCCCAGGGTTTAGCTTTTCTAAACACTGGAGAAGTTATCTGGGAAATATAAACAAGTTTTATGCTTCCCAGGTCACTTTTCCTGCGTTTAGATACTTCAAGCTGCGTTTACATGTGTTTTTAGTTTCATTTAAAGCTTCTAATTGAATCCTGGACACAGAACTCTGTTTTTCTGAATGCAGGTAAACAAAGTGTGAACGGTACCATTAATAATCAATTACATGCATTTATATGCGTTTAGAAATGTGCTCTAAACACATATAAACACAGTTTGACACTGCTTTGAATAAGGCCTAAAGGTGGAATTCAGCTTCTGAACAATGCAAGTGTGAATGTTATTTTTGCACTTGTGGAGGCTCTTCATTCCTGGACTCAAAGAAGAACTCTGGGGGAATTTTTTTTATCAACCCTTGCATTGGGGCTACCCCTGGACTGCAATGGTTAACTGCTCGTTTGTTTCCAGGTGCCAACAGAAAAAGTTCTACTAGCCCGATCATTCCATGCAAGCTTGTTCTTAAGGTGCCCATAAACCTTACGATTATCGGGCGATTTTCGTATGCGATCGACTTTTCGTCCGATAATCGTATATGTGCGTAGCAGTGCCCGACCGACATTACTGTACAATCGTACGACTTTTGACGGTCAAGCATGTTTGAAAACTTTGCTAGATCGTACGATTGTTGTAAGGTTGCTGGCGTTTCCGTCCGTCAAAAGTTGTACGATCTACACTGTGCTTGCGCTAACGAAAATACGGCAAATCAATTACCGCATTTCGTCCAGGTGCTTTTCGTTAATTACGGCTAAATTAATCTTGCGATCATCGGGGCAGGATGGGGCTGTCGTATGAAAATCCTACGACTGTTCGATCGTCGGACGAAAAGTTTAGTCCGATAATCGTAAGGTTTATGGGCACCTTTAGGCTTTGTCCCTGGAGCCATTCTCTCCTTCCTCTGCAGTGGTCTAAGAATCCTTGTGTTATTACGCTGTATGCAAGTGTGTAGACATGAGGGCACTGAGGAAAATTCCATCTGAGGGTGCTGCAACAGTTAATAACTTTTCTATGGAGTTCTTTAAAACCTGGTAGCTAATGGATTGCTTGAAAACTCAGACTCTGCTTATAATGAATGGCTTGGCCTGAATGTATGATGGTCACAGGACAGCTGCTCACTTTTGGCTGGTTGGGTTCTGGTTAATGTTATGGCAATGATCCATAGTGTCTAAAGTGGATGGGGAATAGCTTTTGTTAGAGATGTCACACCTGGATTTAAAAAGTGACTGTCACAGTCATATAGTTCAAAAGAGCGTACGCACCTTGGGGCATTACTGTCTTTTGAAGTGTGTCACAAATTATTCTGTCATTTGCCATTGTTCCAACAACTTTTTTTTTTTTTTTATCCCAGAATAACACATTAGACCTTCCTTACAAAAGTATCTGACGAAAGTCATACGCTAATGAGTTGCTAGAGTTAACAGTTCTTTAATTCTCTAGCCCACGTTGACATTGTAAAATGTACAAGGCATTTGGTTGGTTTTGGCACTCCAGTTCTGTTTTTAGACACGAGTACCATATGACTGTGTTGGATTACTGGAAAACTCCAGGCAAAAGGCTTAATTAATGTTTAAATACACATATTTGCTGCTTTTCCTGCCAAAAGATTTGTAATTCTATTTAGCATTTATTACACACATTTGCTAGTCTGGGTGATCACTCTTCTGCTGTTTGATTTTCCAGTACTGTTTTCTGTGTCATTGTTACTGCTACCTAGTCAGCTCATGCTCCCTTGACACAAGAAATTATTCTGATTCACCGTCCAATGAGAATGCTGCAGCAGAAGTGACTTGGTTACAATAAACTCGGCAGTTCAAACTTAAAAATGCATTCAAGTAGCTTAACTATTAAAGGAGAACTATGAGGTGAGTGCTTTTCACTCACCTCATAGTTCTAGCCGACCTGTGACAATGAGACTGTCACAGGTCGGCTCAGTAGATCGGGAGGTGAGTGAACATGTACCGGCGTATGCTCACCTATTGATCCTGTCACTGCTCTCTGCCGTGACAGGGGAGGGGCTGGATTCCCCCCTCCCCGATCCGCCAGCCCTGACTGGCGGAACAGACGCGGGAAGGGGGTGGGTACAGCTGGCTCTGCCTTTAGATAGGCAGAGCCAGCTGTCAGTCACGCAGCTGGGCGGATCCCGGCACAATTGTCAGGATCCGCTTCAGCTGCGGCGTCTTAGTATGCTCGCGGTATAATGAACCTAGGGTGACGAGAGGACGCTAGTTTTTGTCCTCCCGTTACCCTAAGGAGAATTATGGGGAAAAGCCTTAATCCCATAGTTCTCCTTTAACAATACTGTATCTTATTTGTGCATCACTCAGCTGTAGGTCCTCAAATCATCTCTGAATTGGTGCTGACACTGTCCTGGAGGGTGGCTACTTTTGTTCCCCATGGTCCCTGTATGTGTTGTAAAGTAGCCACTGCTCCAAGCTCACTCCCATGAAGGACTACAATCTCACATTTAGTTTACTAATTTGCATTGAGATGAGGAATGCTCCAATACTATTATTGGTATCCGAGCCGATAGAGTATTTGGGCGATTTACTTGTACTCTCCCAAATGCTCCCCAAACTTATCCCGATACTGGAACTTCCATTATCAAGAAGGCGGGTGGTGGTCATTACAAGCTGCCCGGGTTCCTGATTGGTTGGGAAGGTGGCTCCATGCTCCCTAGTCACCAGGGAGCATGAAGCTGGC